GAATCACTGATATGTGTTGGGAGTCACAGTTCTAAAATTCAATATCAAATGCTTTATTTTATTTTCAAGATCTGAGATAAACAATCTGCTGCTGCTTTCAGTAGTATGGCAATAAATGCCATGTACAATAGCATTCATACTCATAATATTAGCATTTAACACTGAATGAAGCACATGAGGTGTACCTGAGGTGATCATGATCACTTTATCCTATTGTTTATCTGCAAGAAATAGAAGTCGTTTCTAAAATATAAATACCGGGTGTTGGTTAGGACAAAAACTTATTTTTATATGGAAAATATTCCTTCTATCGCATGTGTCAAACTATACTTATATATAACTTCAATCTAATGAAAAAATATGTTTGTTTTGTTTATCTTCAAAGAAAGTCTGACTATTGCTTCTGGAGTGGCGGTTGTTCACTGTTGGTGTCAACCTAAGGGCTTCTATAGCAACTGTACTGTATATTAATAACCTCCCTTACCTGCCATAAGGGAATGATATGCAAAAGAAAGCCCTGCCCCCTACTTAATATTCTGTTTCAGTTGGAAGTGCATTAACATACTGAAATGTTATAGCAACTTCCAGTTCAGGGGGACTTTAATGGGAAAAAATCAGCATAGTAGAATGATTCCTGAATCTTATGCCAATTAAGACTTAAATAATGATGCTGAAAATCCAGGTTTTCCAGCACAGGAATGCATTAAAAATACAAAAAAAATTGAGATGATTTGAAGTAGTAATACTATTAAACAATAACATTATTTTTCTTGTAATTTACATTATGAAAGACATCAGCGTAGTGCATTTAGCATAGCATGTTTACACAATTCTTAAATTATGTATACACCTACTGTATGAATGTCTGAAAATAACTGGCTGGATGTACAGTACATTATCCAGCTTATTACATGGCTATAAAATTAAACAAATAGTCACTGATCTGAGGTGTAATAATTTACTAGATCTTCAATTGACGTAAAGCTTTCAGAAAGTAAAATGTATTAAACCTTCTTATTATTATTTTTGGCAAGGTGGTGTGACAGAGTCAAGAACAGCAGACCGGTCACAGACACGTGCGTCATGATTTTACGAAGTACAATGCGATCCTGGATTAACATCTATGTTGATCCTGGAACATCATTTTTGTTCAAATATAGAATCCATACCCATTCCATACTCTTAAACCCCAACCATAACAGTAAATTATTCCCAAAATCAAATGGGAGTTATAGCTGAATAACAGTCATGTAAAAGTGCATAAACCTAACCGTAAGCCTAAAGTTTACATAAACTGTAAACATATCCCTTAATTCTGATTGGAATGTTGTTCTAGGATCAACATCAGGTTGGTGGTCAAGAGTATTTGTAGTGGATTTTTGATGAGTGTTATGAGTTTATTGGTTGTTATCAGGGAATAACATACATTGGAATGTCTTGATTAACATCATTAAATATTTGAAAGTATCTATTAAATATTATAATATTCTATATTTACTATACATATACACAGGGTTTACAGGGGGGGGGGGGGGTGTAAGGGTGGATTGTACCCCTAATTAATGTTTGATCCCTCTGAAGGATGTGAAAACAACATGTATAAGTAGTTTGCTCTGATCTGCATCTTAAATACAAATATTATTAACTATATAATAGATAATATAAACATACAATTGACCACCCCTATAATGGATTATACCATTCTGAATGCATAATTGCGTCAATTAGTCTAAGTTGATTTACAAAACACTTTTCTTGTAAAAAAAAATAGGTGTTTGTTTCTACATAAAGCCTATAACCTCTGAAATGGTTAATCCTAGGATATTGTTGGACAGAATACACAAACTATCCCATAAAACACTGAAAAATTCAATGTTGCAGTAATAAAATAGATGTCATTTAATTTGATTAAATGAATTCTAACCCCCCTGGTCGTCAATGTATAATTTGCACCCTGTGTGTGTGTGTGTGTGTGTGTGTGTGTGTGTGTGTGTGTGTGTGTGTGTGTGTGTATATACAAAACGCACGCCTGCACCAAAAATGTCATGTAATGATGTCAGTATGCCGTAAAAATCTAGTATATTTCTGGACATTTTGATGGCCGGTCATTTAATGGGGAGATCCCAGCAGTATCCCGATGAGAATTCCACAATCATCTCTTACGAAATCCTCTTATGAGGATGACAGGGCTTGTCTTTAAGTGTCAGCTCTTGATTTCATAATGTGCAGTTGTATTTATTTTCAGCGATCCAGCAGGGTCTCTGCTCTCATAGTGCTGGAGTGGATTTGGGTCATGCTAGTTTTAGAGTGCCTCTCATCACTCTCACTCCATCAGAGCGACAAGCCCTAAAAGGATCTTCACATCAGTAGTTAAAAAGCCAGGCTTTAACACTTACAGTTCAGAATTCACATCATAAGCTTTTTAAAGCGAGATTCACCCAAAAGCTAAACTACTTTCCGTTATCCACCCTCCGCTTGTTCTAAACCTGTTTTAGAGTAAACCTGTGAGTTGAACACAAAAGATGATCTTTTGAAAAATGTTGTAGCCATTGACTTCCCTTATATATTTTTTATGTTCTCACTCTATGGAAGTCAATAGTTACGTTTACCAAGTTCTTCAATATATGTGTTCAAGACAGAAAGAAATCACTTAATGGTGTGTTTATGTTCTCCCATGATTAATCTTTATAAATTATTATTAGAAATGCATTCAATCAAATAACTAGTGTAAACGCTGTCAGTTGTGATTAATTCTTCAAATGCGAGTTATTCATACTCTGTCTTGCTGTATCAAAACCAACATAGGCTCCTTCTGAAAAGGTAGCCCTATATACATTTCTGAAGATTGCAAATTATGTAGCCAGAGCTACGAATGGCTGTATACGTATATGCAAAATACGTCACAGGAGCTACGTTTTTTTGCAGTTTGTTTTGGTAACACTTTAGAATAACTATCCGTTATAACTAGTTAATAGACCATTAATAAACTGTTAGTTAACAAATTTTAAATGACTTGTTAAATAAAAGTTAATAGTTTGTTAATTATTTACAACTGTGCCTTATAGATGGGCAATGGATAACTTACAAGCCGTTAGTTTGCCGTTTAGAATAACGTCTCAATAACATGCTTAAGCTAATAACTAACACTTAACTATTATATTTACTCATACTTTACAGACGAGAGTTGTTCATCGTTTGTTAACCATCTACTAATACCAGTGAATCTTTGTAGAACAGCAAATGGATGGAATAAGTTCAAGCTACAGAAATTTGATGTAATATTTAAAACATAAAATGTTTGTTTCGAAACTTTGTTCCACTTATAGGCTTTTCTGTGTGCTGTGTTTTACCAAAGAAACTGCACAGATGAAATGTTAAACGTTGTGTTTAATGTATAGAAACACACATACTGAACCATCACATGGCAGTACAGCAGTATGCAAGAATACTTTTGTTATACTTTTGCAAGAATACCTTTGTTTTTCACGAATCCACCAGGGGCCACTGTGTACTCTTTTTGAGATCTCAAATTTCTGTCACAAGTGCAATTCGCGCCTGCTTTTCTCACGTAAATCCACCAGAGGCTGCTGTCGACTGACTGACCGATCCACTGACCCACCATCCTCCTTCCCCAAACCCAACCAATAGTGTTTTCAAAATCACAGATTGACCCGCCGACCCACTTCCCTTTACCCAACCAACAGTTTTAAAAAAACAATCCAGAAAAAGAATTGGCCTCGCCTCATTTTTCCTACGTTTTCATATTTTACCACATTCTCACCCTTTTATTTACTTGTTTATTTTATTTTTTTTGGCTTTTTGTCTTACCCGCTTTCTGGAACTGTTCTTTGTCAGCTTCGAACCCCATCGTCGTGGTCAACTCTTCTCTGCATCTCAAGTCTGTTGATGTATGCGGCAAGCTACTGGACAAACTGGTAACAATGGAAAAGCCGTCTATACGGAGCAGTCAGCTGGTAAGCGTTTAAAGGAACGGCGTCAAACCACCCATATCGTTCACTTTAAACATGAAATCACGGGTCAATCTTTGATTTTGAAAATACTATTGGTTTGGTTTAGGGAAGGAGGAGGGTGGGTAAGTGGATCGGTCAGTCAGTCAAACAGTCAGTCGACAGCGGCCTCTGGTGGATTTATGCGAGACAAGCAGGAGCGAATGACACATGCGAGAGAAATTTAAGATCTTAAAAAGTATACACAGCAACCACTGGTGGATTCGAGAAAACAAAAACTGCAAAAAAAACTCACATCCTGGGAGGTATTTGGTGCTCTCCAGAAATGTATATAAGGGTACATATTCAGTATGAGCCTAGGTTGACCAAAACACGAGGATTACAAATGAAACTGGTGTTTCCTTCCATTATTTAATTCGCTTGCTCATGTGTCGCCCTGAGTACTCCAGTGCAAGTGATGAATTCTCAATAACAACATCCCAACACAAGTGGTCACAAGAGACGCATCTGAACACGTGCTAATACCTTGGAATTAAGAATCTATGTAGACCATGTTCAAACTCGGTCCTGGAGGGCTGATGTCCTGCATAGTTTAGCTTCAACTTACTTCAACACACCTGCCTGGAAGTTTGTAGTTTTCTTTTAAAAGAGCTTGATTAGCTGGTTCAGGTGTGTTTAATTGGGGTTGGAACTAAAATATGTAGGACACTGGCCCTCCAAGACCGAGTTTGGACACCTTTGATGTAGACCATTTGTGCTCTCCCTGACATACAAGAGTTTTTCCTGATCATAAGAACATATTCAGCTTGAGTATCTTTGGCTGCTTCTTTGTTTTGACCTGTGCATATTGCTTTTGCCTCCTACTCATCATCTCACGGCTAAACGGGCGCTCGCTCTGGTGCTAAAAAAAAAAAGGAAAAAGTGAAGGAAAAATTGAATCATATACAGCGCTCTTTTGCATAATGTTTCCGTGATGTACGGAGCAGATGTTCTAACGCTCTTGCTCTGTCTCTCCTCATCTCTTTTTCACAGTAATTGCCCTTTCTCCTTGGCTGCAGCTCTGGCCCGCGGTACAGCAGACAGCATCCTGCAAAGTGATCTCTCCTTGTACCATCTCAACAAGAGTGTTGAGGACGGGACTGAGACTGAGACTGAGACAGAAACGGAGACACAGACCCGTAAGTGCACTCCCATCACATAAACCTAAACTAGAAACACTTAAAGGGGTAGTTCATGCAAAGATTTGAAATCTGTCATCATTTACACTCCTTTTACCTCTTTGAGTTGAAGGCATTTTGAAGAATGTTGGAAAATGGTATCCATTGACCTCCATAGCATTTGGTTTTCCTACTAATGTTTTTATTTAGTGAGTACTGATCGGGTTAGTGTGATTATCGGCCGATACAGAGCATCCCTAATAAATACACTTAAATATACACATGCTCGCGTGACAAGTAAGAACCAATGAGATTTAATATTCCATGAGATTCCAGCAAATCGGGCTTCCGCTTGTACTTTTTTATTTATGTTAAGTAAATGTTCACTGGCCAATGTATTATATATTTATATGTGAATAAAACGAAAAAAAAAAAAGAATTGGACTAAGTAGCTTGCATAATATTTTTTATTCTTGTTATGAATTATTTGAAATGTCAGATTTTTGGGTGAACAGACATCTTAGGGGCAGAAATCTCTTTTATTTGATTAAAAATATCTTCATTTGTGGTCTGATGAACAAATTTCCCCTGTTTGAAATGACAAGAGGGTGAATACATGATGACAAACCCTTTAAAAAATGAAATACGACGAGTATGACGCAAGTCTACCATTGATTTATTCAGATTTTCTTGACACTCATGCCCCATCTGAAGTCATGCCGTGTCAATAAATCCAGCTGAAGTCTTGCTATCGAGTATAATATCTGATCTAAATGTAGGCCGTTCTGCACAATTTTAAGCCTCCTATTCAACTGCAAATGTAGGTCACTTACTAACTTAACGGTGGCCTGAATTGCTTTCTTATCTTTCTATATTGGAATTGAAACGGCAAAGGAATTTGAGGTGGGAACAGCTGCTAATGCACCACAGCTTTGACTGGTGAGGAAAGGAGAGCTCATGTCAGCTTTAATTGCACATCTAATAGATCTTCGAAGATCAATTCGTATTTGAACGTCTGACAGCTCCATTTGTTTTGAGATGTGTCCAGTATGATTCATTTACTACTTCACTTCAAGACTCTTTCTCTATGGCAATAACTGAAAACGTTCAAATGAAAGTGTCACAATCTTTTTGATGACCTGACATATAAATGTTGATATGCATGGGGTTAGGGATGCATGTTTTAATATGGTATAGGTTCTAAGCCTACATTAAGATTTTTATACTTTAGGTATTTGATTCTTTTATTATTGAAATTAATATTTAATATACTTATATAAAGTATATACAAGAGATTTCATTGTTAAAAAAAAAATATTTCTCAGCTTTTATGTCCATTTAAACAAAAATGTAAGTCAGAATTTGCCAGGGATTTGAATAATGTTGGGTTTATATATATGCAGTGCATCCGGAAAGTATTGATAGCGCTTCACATTTTCCACATTTTTTATGTTACAGCCTTATTCCAAAATGGATTAAATTCATTTATTTCCTCAAATTCTACACACAATACCCCATAATACCCCAGATTTTTTTATTGTTGCAAATTTATTTAAAATAAAAAAGCTGAAAAATCAGATGTACAGAAGTATTCACAGCCTTTACCGTCGAGCTCTAAATTGAGCTCAGGATCATTCTGTTTCCACTGATCATTCATGAGATGTTTAAGCAGCTTAATTGGAGTTCACCTGTGGTAAGTTCAGTTGATTGGACATGATTTGAAAAGGCATACACCTGTCTTTATAAGGTCCCAGGGTTGGCAGTGCATGTCAAAGCACAAACCAAGCATGAAGGAATTGTCTGTAGACCTCTGAGACAGGACTGTCTGGAGGCACAAGGCTGGGAAAAGTTACAAAAATATTTCTGCTGCTCTGAAAGTTCCTATAAGCACAGTGTCCTCCATCATTCATAAGTGGAAGATGTTTGAACCACCAGGACTCTTCTTAAAGCAGGCCAGCAATCTAAGCTGATTGATCAGTGGGGAAGGGCCTTAGTCAGGGAGGTGATCAATAACCTGATGGCTACTCTGTCTGAGCTCCAGCGTTGTTCTGTGGAGAGAGGAGAACTTTACAGAAGGACAACCATCTGTGTAGCAATCTATCAATCAGACCTGTATGGTAGAATGGCCAGCCGGAAGCCACTCCTCTTCTGGAGTTTGCCAAAAGGCATCTAAAGGACTCTCAGACCATAAGAAACAAAATTCTTTGGTCTCCTTAGAGTGAATGCCAGGCGTTACATTTGGGGAAAACCAGGCACCGCTTATCACCAGGCTAATAACATATCTACAGTGAAGCATGATGGTGGCAGCATCATGCTGTGGGGATGTTTTTCAGCAGCAGGAACTGGAAGACTAGTCAGGATAGAGGGAAAGATGAATGCAGCAATGTACAGAGACATCCTGAATGAAAACCTGCTTCAGAGTGCTCTTGACCTCAGACTGGGACAACGGTTCATCTTCCAGCAGGACAATAACCCAAAGCACACCCCCCACAAAATATCAGTGAAGTAGCTTCACAACAACTCTGCGAATGTCCTTGAGTGGCCCATTGTCATTATGGGGTATTGTGTGTAGAATGTTGAGGAAATAAATTACTTTAATTCATTTTGGAATAAGGCTGTAACATAAAAAAATGTGGAAAAATGAAGTGCTATGTATACTTTCCGGATGCACTGTATACATATACATTTTACTAGAGTTTGTTATATGCAAAAATACTTTTTATTGTAACATGTTTAGGAATATAGATTTTAAAAAATCCTCCATAACAGGAAAGTTAATTCAATATACGGCATAGCATATATCTTTACAGCAGCCCAATCTCTCAAGGAAACATAACTTGTTGTATATTAGTGGTTTGTTTGCTCAAATTCATACAAGTTCAGTCTAACAAAAATGTAGGATTTTAAAAGGAGGTGTGGCACCAACTCCCCCCTAAACCCAACTGTCATTGGGCGATGTGCAAATTGTACTAAACTATACAAACTCATCCGAATTAGCCAATCAAAAAGTTACGAATTGTCTTGAGATAATGTTGGTATTGCAAGTAATTTCATATATCCCAGCACGCACACAACCTCATAAGACCTCATTTCGCTCGTGATGTCAGTTGTCTAGTCAGCGTCTAAGGACAATGTTATTTTGACATCCAATAACGACTTCAAATGACGTTGATATTTGATTGATTTTAGGTTGTGTTGGAAAGTGACCAAAATCCAACGTCGAGCCAACATCTTAAACCGACGTCATAATTACGTCAAATACTGACATTTATTCGTCATGTATAGCAACCAAAATACAACATCTTATAGACGTCATAGTGGTAACGTCCACACAACGTCAAGCTGTAACATTATTGATATTTGGTTGATTTTAGGTTGGATGCTGGACATTTTTCATCTCCAAACAAAATGCAACGTCCCAACAATGTTGGGGTACAGCGTCAATCGAACATCATGTTGACTTTCTGCGCCTGCTGGGATGCTGCATGAATTTCAATTAAATCTAATTTTATCTATCCGCTTTTTGAATTCAGACAAAATAGTGTCTTGTGTGTCTCCTGTTCATTTAATCAAACGTGCTCATTTTGCCATAGTGAATTATGGGAAATGTAGTTTGTTCCGTCTTGCTCAACCAAACAGATTTAAATTCTGCTTGGTACTGCTGGTGACTCAGAGACAACACGTTTCATCTTTAATTATGACTGACAGCAATTTGTTTCAGTCATAATTCTTTAACAGACAAGCCCTTGACTGGGGAAAGAAAAAGTTCAGAGTTCCCCCGCTGGTAATTACGACATTGCGTCGGCGTTCATGTGCACTGATCTCATAAATACAATCATCCCGACAAGCCATGAAGGCTGCAATAATTCCCTGTGCTGTTTCACATCCAGCTATTTCCGTCATGAGTACACGAAGCACACTAATCCCTTACACTTTCCTGAATGGACGCTAGATTTATGCGGCCAGATGGATGCATTGAGTTTAAGCACTGTTCAAAAATACGTCAGAGCTGGAGATCTCCACTTGGGTAGAGTCTGGTTTTCCTCAGTCGGGACAGCTGATCAATTGGTTTCAGCTTGAGGTTTAGGCCTACATGACGTGACCCATTCCAGCAGCACAGATTCTGCTGAGTGCAAGTCTTAGCAGTGGAAACGACTGACATAAGTACACAGACGTCTGCTCAGGGCAAAGGCAGTACATACTGTTCACCAGCGCAGACCTGAGATGGCAGATTAAATTTAGACACTGTGCCCACGGAGACAAGACAGAGAGAGAGCGAGAGAGGGAGAGCGAGCATCTAAAAGGCTAAGGGAAGGGGAAAGAGCATGTAATATCTACTTTTACAGACAATCTAAAAGGCCTCTTTGTCCGCACAATGCTAAAATACATCTGTCAAAAGCAGAACTGCAGATGGATGGATGCACAATAAGGAAGGGGAAATGCAGCCTTTGAAAAAATACGACACTCCATTAGGCAAATCTGGGACTCTGCCATAAGTTTTGGCATGCAAATTCTTTTGTGGGCTTGAGAAACAAATAACTTGATTGCCAATGATGCTGTCAAAAGCTAAGTTTCCTTCCGACTGTTTTTATGTACATTTTGGGACATCATATTAAAAAATGCTTAATGGAAATGCCAAGATGTGTATACATTTTGAAAATTTGCATTAAAATTGTATGCGCACACAATTAAGAGTAGGATAAACTTTTTATCCAATAATAAAAATGCAGATAAACTACGATGGAAACACATTTACTAAATAAACTACAGCATACGCCTAAAAAAATAACACAGACTAGCTGACAAAAGTCTTGTCGCTGATCCCAGTTGTAAGAGCAACAAATAATAACTTGACTTAAGTGGCAGAAGGCAGATGTTTCAGATGAATCAGCTGTTGAACTGCATCCCAATCATCACATATACTGCAGAAGACCTATTGGAACCCTCATGGACCCACGATTCTTACAGAAATCAGTCAAGTTTGGTGAATGAAATTTCATGGTTTGGGAATACATTCAGTATGAGGGCGTGAGTGAGATCTGCAGAGTGAATGGTAACATCAACAGCCTGAGGTATCAAGACATTTGTGCTGCGCATTACATTACAAACCACAGGAGAGGGCAAATTCCTCAGCAGGATAGCGCTCCTTCTCATACTTCAGCCTCCACATCAAAGTTCCTAAAAGCAAAGAAGCTCAATGTGCTTCAGGATTGGCCAGCCCAGTCAACACATGAACATTATTGAGCATGTCTGGGGTAAGATGAAGGAGAAGGCATTGAAGATGAATCCAAAGAATCTTAATGGGGAGTCTTGCAAGAGTGCTTTCTTTGCCATTCCACATGACTCTATTAATAAGTGATTTGAGTCATTGCAGAGATGTATGGATGCAGTCCTCCAAGCTCATGGGAGTCATACACAATGTTAATTCTTTCTCCACTGCACCATGACCTTATATTCTATACTATCATTATTTCTGTTAAGTGACTTTTCTGAGCAAAGTCAGACCTTACTGTCCTAATTAAATAATTAAAAATCAAGGCATGATCATATTTTATTTTAAGTGACACTTTTGTTCTGTTTGATTAATTGGATGGAAACAGTTCCAGTTTTGCATATAAATCTTGTTATTGTATTGGATGGATACATTGCTAATTAATGTGGTCCACATCCCCATTTTGGGTAATATTTGTTTTTTATTAGTATATGCAAAAATCATACAAATACAAGAAAACATCAACAAATAACAAATACAAAGCAACAAAACAAAAACAAAAACAACAACAATATAGTCAGGTACTGGTATGTGCGTGAGTGTGCATGTGTGTGTGTGTGTATGCATGTAAAGGGAACTTGGTGGACAGGTCAGAGTACATACATAAGGAACAATAACAGTCAATAAATGATGCAAGTGTCACAGATATAAATAAAACATATAGAAAGAAACCAGTCAGAGGTAGGGAGTAACAACAATGCTTATTAATGTATGATAGTAAAAATGAAAGTAAAAAGAAAGAAAGGACAATGGTAATGATAACTGACAATAATAATAAATCACAAGTGCTACACCAGCAATCTTATTGATACCATGTATATTTAAAACCCATAAGGAAAACCGCTACTCTTGTCCATCAAATAATTGATAGTGTATTCAGAAATGCTTTGTGAGATGAGCAGCATATAGAGCGTTATATAGATCACAGGTGGTTGAGAAGGGACAGCGTGTTTCAGAGATATTGATGAGAACTTCACAGAATAAAGGAACGTCAGATTTAGTCCGATGAGACGAGAGCTGGAACAATCCCATCATCATTAACCAGTCACCTCCCTCTCCCTCTCCCTCTCTCTCTCTCTTTCTCAGTTGGCAGATGGCCTCTTTTGCCCACTGTCCTCAATTCCGCTTCCACTGTGCATTTAATCAGCAGCTCATGCACTCTTCCTTTCCAATATCATATTGGAGTCAAATCTGTTTGGCTTGTGAGCAAATAAACAGCACTGTCTGTTCACGTATGGTACATGTATGTGCTGTTTTTAGTGCTGTGACATATACAAGCAATGGCTTATTAGTCATGACGATGAATCTAAGCAGCTTGGTTTTTGTATGTGTAGCATGCAACGGTGTAACGTAACGGATTACAAATACTTAAACTACTATAATTGAGTAGTTTTTCTTAGAATGCAGTCAAATCTGTTTGCCTTGTGAGCAAATAAACAGCACTGTCTGTTCATGAAGGATACTTTTATGGGTTGTTTTTAGTGTTGTGAATTTACAAGCAATGGCTGATTAATTATGATGATGCAACACGCAGTGATGTAAAGTAACAAATTACAAATACTCCAATAAAATATTCATTCATTTTCTTTTCGGCTTAGTCCTTTTATTAATCTGGGGTCGCCACAGTGGAATGAACCACCAACTTATCCAGCTTTTGTTTTACGCAGTGGATGCCCTTCCAGCTGCAACCCATCACTGGGAAACATCCAAACACACTCATTCACACACATACACTATGGACAATTTAGTTTACTACATGTCTTTGGACTTGTAGGGGAAACTCGGAGGAAACCCAAGCAAACACAGTAAGAACATGCAAACTCCACACAAAACCGCCAACTGTTCCAGCCGGGGCTCGAACCGGCAACCTTCTTGCTGTGTGGCGATTGTGCTACCCACCGTGCTGCCCTCCAATAATATAAATGAGTAGTTTATGTTAGGAAATGTACTTTACTAAGTAGTTTTAAAAATCTTTTTTTTTTTTTACTCGAGTATCTGGATGAGTGCTGAATTGAGGGCTCTATCTGTCAGGGATGTGGCTTAGAGAAAGGAGCGAGAACTCAAATGCGAAAAAATTATAGACTTATTAATTAAAAATAAAACAAAATCCACCCTGAGTGGGAAAAACATAACTAAAAGACAAAAAAAACTTGGCTGGGCGGGCAGGGAAGTTCAGGACAAGACACGGCAGGAACATGAAGTATGACAATTGACAAACTGGCACAGGACAGCAGACAAGAGGGAGCTATAAAGAGAAAATATTAACAAACAAACAGGTGAACTGAATAAACTAATAATGGGATATCAAGGAGGGTGGGACTACACAATAGACGACACAGACAGAACTCAAGACACGAGCACATGATAAATGGAAACACTTTTCTGATCCCATTGCCAACAGAAACCAACTAAACTGGAGCGATGAGAACACCGAGCATGCCCTGTGAGAATACAGACAATACAGAGCATGCCCGGACCTTGACGCGGACGTGCGCACAGCTCAAGCACGGCCAAGACGGTGCTCATACATAGACAATGACAGGAAATATGAGTGCTCAACCTGAGAGAACTCGACCCGAGCACAACATACTAGACAAGACAGAACTAGTGTCTGGACTCCTCCACCAAAACAAGAATTAAAATGACCAAAGTGGCAAAGTCCGGACAATATCGGTGCTTTTACTCCACTACTTTCTTTTAACCTGCAGTCACTACCATACAGTATAATCTTACTTTTTAAGCAACGAGTAAAGTAACACATTACTTAAAAAAATTGAATAATATTTGAGTTACTTTTTTTTTATTACAGTTTCACTTGTTTACTTTGACCTGGTTAAAGAAACTAGGTTCCACTTAATTTTCATTATCACTATCCCAGCAGAGCAGAAGACAGGTCTTGCAAATGTGTAAACCCTTTCTCATTGGGTTGACACATTTTCCCCACCCTTTTTCAAAACAGTTAACACGGATGTCATTCAAGCAGTCCAAACGTCATTGTTTTAGCTTTGGTAACCAAACAGAAACCAACTATTCCTAACTATTAGAAACTACCAAGATCAGTATGAATTCACTGAAGCACCGGTTTGACACTCCTTCACACAAATCTTCAATGAGCAATCAGTCTGCAAACATTAAAAACGGTGGAAGGTCTGTGTTGTTCTGTACCAGTATGGATGGAGGAGGTCAGAAGTGGCTATAATCCCAATAGATTTGACTGTATATTGGTTTACATGTGTTTTCTCTAATATTTACAGTATTTTGTTACTTTTGTCAGTTTTTTTTTTTTTTAACAGTGTTTCAGTTTTCACACAGTTCGAAACATGTCATGAATTCAATATAAATTTAATCAAAGCATTTCTTTTTCTGGATCCATATCTTTGCAAAAAGGCAAATTTGACAGCCCAAATAGAAAGACAACAAATGGCATTGGCAACAGGCTACAATCGCAAGCAATGGTGCACTGATTCACACTGATTTCTGTATTTTGTTGTCCATTGTGTAAGGATTAATTGAAAGAGATCATACACTTGTTTGCAAGTTGTGTTGTTTGCAGGTAAAACTAGCTTTCGTTGCATATTTTAAATGTTTTGACATGGTATGTGCGTTTTGCAAGCAAAATGTATCATTTTGACGAAGAATACCACTGTTTAGGCCTGTGTGTTAACTGTGTGGAAAATGTGGAGTTTCAGTTGACGGCTGCATCAAAGCAATCAAGAAAAACTGTAATGGGAGCTACTTTTAGTTTAATTAATTAAATTTTACAAAAGAAATTGCTGAATTAAAATGAATGTGGTCACGTCAAATCACACACTCATTAAGAGAATGCGTTCATTATTCTGAACACATCTGAGAAAAGAAATGGGGATTGTCTCAATGGAGAGAGATTTTAAGTAACAGTTAAGACAAAAAGTACAAAAATAGTGAACACATTGCTTTAAACTTTCATTAATTGGTAAATACGGCATGTATAGCTCTGGGGTCTGGAAGTTCTCAGAAGATAACATTATCCTAAATAATTTATGTTTTTAAAGGTAAATGAAAGTGTGGGTTATACACTGCGTTATACAGTGTGGTAAGGAAAAGTAAGGTAAAAGTAACGTAAAAAGTAACTAAGTAACGCAACTAGTTACTTTATTGGGGAGTAACTGAACATTGTAATGCATTACTTTCAAAAGTAACTTTCCCCAACACTGGTTACTACTTTTTTTTCTTGTCTACGGTGATTGGCTAAGCAGAATAATCACTCCTGTGATTCCCATCCAATCAAACTGTAAATATAAAAATCACATCAGATACGGATACTGATAAAAATTAAGGATGTCAACAGTATGATGACTGAATTTACCAAATGGCCTTAAATACCATTTATATAGTAACTAACCAATAACTAAACGCACTACAGAATGTTACGTTTTCAAACACATGCACAAAATGGTAACAAGTAACGTGACATTTGTCTCAACAGAGATCGATTCGGTGAAGCTGGCGCGACTTGTCTTCAATAAGCTGTGTGAGACGTGCAGTCAGTGGCTAAAAGACTTTCCGTATCGCCGCCGTCACTTGCCCTACTACGAGACTTCTATCCATGCTATTAAAAACATGCGCCGGAAGATGGAGGACAAACACGTTGTGATTCCTGACTTCAACACACTCTTCAATCTACAGGTATGACCTTGATTGAGGCTTTGAGTGATGTTTTATTTTTCTCCCAAAAATAATGTAAACTTGTATTCAGTTGTTTGGGATAAAAAACAAACTTAAATAAATTAACATTAATTAAAAAAAACAACAAATATATAGAAATAAATTAGCTAAAAAAAAATGACAAAGACAACCAATAACTTTTTAATGAAAACAGAAAATATAATAACTAGTTATAGTTATCCTTAAAACAAATCTGTACACTTAAATTCATTAAATTTGAAGTATATTTTTAAGTACACTATTTGTAGTAAGTATAGATCAATGTACTTGCAATATACATGTAAGGGTACTATTTAATTCTACTTGGGACTAAAATAGCGCACTCTTTATGTTTGAGTACACAACTAGTTTAAAAGTACTGTATGTTTTTTTTATTAAATACTTAAACCACATTTATTAATATATAAAAGCACACTTTGAAATATATTCTCATTAAACCACTAACTAGTTTTGTAGTTATTAAACTGCAAGTATATTTTGCTTCAAGTACACTTGAGTTTTTTTAAGTGAACTTAGCAACACAGTATATTTTTTACGTTTTGTTTTAGTTGAATCAAACTAATTGTTCTAGTAATCTCAGCCCAAGTCAAACTGTCTTTTTAGTTAAACTTTGTAAATGATTAACTCATTAAAATAAAGTAAAAATAAAACATTTGACTCAGATCGTTTTTTGCAGTGCACTTTGTTTAATATTTATATATAATTTTGCACATTAAGTAAATTTAAGGTACATGCAGTAAGTAAAAGTACATAAAATAGACACCGTACACACCCATTTCTATTTGTTTAAGAATTCTACTAATTATTTAGTATACTAATACACACTGGAAGAAAGGAAGGAAGGACGGAAGGAAGGAAGGAAGGAAGGAAGGAAGGATGGAACGATGGATGGATGGATGGATGGATGGATGGATGGATGGATGGATGGATGGATGGATAGATGGATGAGTTCAGTCAAAGCAGGGTGAATCAGCTTTTAGCTACAATGCCCCTCGCTGCTGGAATCAGCTTTCAGAAATGATCAGATGTGCTCCAACTTTAGGCACATTCAAATCAAAACTGAAAACACATCTGTTTAACTGTGCCTTTACTGAATGAGCACTGTGCTATGTCCGACAGATCCTATGATTATGTCTTTCTTTTCTTTTTTTATTCTTTTATAACCTGTTTTAACACATTTTAATCTGTTTTTAATCATTTTTTTTGTTTGTTTGTTTTTATTTTCTTATACTTGTCTTTTTTATTCTTGTTTATGTAAAGCACTTTGAATTGCCACTGTGTATGAAATGTGCTATATAAATAAACTTGCCTTGCCTTGCCTTGCCTTGGATATGGATGGATGGATCGATGGATGGCAGAGATGAAATTATGGGTAGAAGAATGGATGGATGGATGGATGGATGGATGAATGAATGGACGGATTGAAGAGATAAAGTGATGGATGGATGGTCTGTATATGGTCTGTATATGTAAGGATGAATGGATGGTTGGATGGAAGAAATAAAATGGTGGGTGGATGGATGGATGGAAGAGATAAAATGATGGATGGATAGATGATCGATGGATGGATGGAACATATAAAATTATGGATGGACGGATGGATGGATGGAAGAGATAAAATGACGGATGGATGGATAGATGGTCTGTAATATGTAAGATGGATGGATAAATAGACAGACAGGCAGATAAATAGTCTGTAAATGCTAGATGGATGGATGGATGGATGGATGGATGGATGGATGGATGGATGGATGGATGGATGGAAACTTCAACTAGTAAACACTAATAGGTTAACTTAGTTTTGTCATGTTGTCCCAACACAAATGGATTATGTGGAACCCAGCATTTTTTGCAGTATAGACTAATTCTTATTCCTCTTTGTTTTTAATGTGCAAGGACTTTGCTTATATTCCAGTTTATTTACTATGACTTTCTTTGTTGCTGTAACAAAACAATAAACTTTACAATAAAACAACACTGGATATAAAAGGCATTTAAACCTGCAGCGCCTTAGATGAGCACCAAGACATGTGACCACCGCTCTGATCCACAATCAAACTGTAAAGCATCTAACAAACATCCCATGATTGTTTTTCATCAAAAACCCATTTTATGCCTAAATAAATAGCACTCACAAATGTGAGTCTAGATAGATGCTAAGTGCCGATACACATAGCGTCTCTTTTCACTGTGATAGAGTCGTGCTGAACTTAACATCCCCGAAGAAACGGCATTATGCAATTGCTTTCCTCATTGCCGGTGCAATTTCCATTCGAGCGGGAATGTGCTCCGTCACCGGAAAGCAATAAGTACGGACAGATTTGCAGTCTCACGTCTAGATCCACTTGATGTTTGAGATGAGACGTGTGGGCTATTGTTCCTCTAATAAGAGCAGACAAGTGTAGCATGACATAAAGGCGCCCTAAAACACGACTGCGGGGGAATATTCAGTCCTAATGATGACACGTTCCATCAATACTCTCTTCACTAACACACTTTACTCATAGACTCTGAGGCGGTTCTTCATCCGTCACATCTGCCAGCCATTTGGAGATAAATGTTGGGCTTTTACTGGTATTATTGGCGAACACTAACATCCCTTTGCCTTAGGCGGAAACAGATCAGAGACCAGTCTCGGCCAGTAAGTGGATAGTGCAATTCAGTGTACAGAGAGAAATGTAAACACAGTTGTTTTATGCGAGGAACATGAGAAAACTAGCATGCTTCCATTATAATAAATGATGCACGTACAGTTTTTTTTCAGTCACTTTGCTGCATTTCTCACAACACTATTTACATTTGCACAACAGTTAATGCAATTCTCAAAACAATTAGTCATTTGTGCACATCATAGTAGCAGTTTCTCATTCCTTCCAACACATTGCAGATGCTTTTGGACATGCATTAATTGCTTTCATACAACTCTCTGCTGTTTATAATATTATTATTTGCTTCTGTCATGTCAGTCAAAATGAACTAAACTTGTAAATGCTGAATAGTCATTCCATATAAAACTAACAGTCCTCATTTCATTACTTGAGTCATTACATACACAAATGTTGAACTAGTTGTCAAAATCTGTCTAGTAAGCTAATTTTATATAAAAAAAAATCTTTATTTTCCTGAAAATGTCTTAAAAATAAACAGTTTCATTAATGATTTACAGACCTGTGTGTGTTGTAGGTTCAGTTCCAATATGTTCTGCAATATGGTTTACAGTTGTGCACAGCTCTACCCAAAGAAAGTTTGTTTGTTGTAAATAAGAGTGGATTTATTTTTTTGCACAATGCTGTGAATAAATTAGAATTGCAAAAAGCAAATGCAGTAAAAATGTGAAACATACATATTCAGTGTCTTGTACTCAGATATAAAAATAAAGTACTGCCTGATGATTTATCTGATTCACATATTGACATTTATAGATAGATGGATGGTGGGTGGGTGAGTGGGTGGATGGATGGATGGACGGACGGATGGATGGATGGACGGACGGACAGACAGATAGACAGACGGATAGAAGAATGGATGGATAGATAGATAGATAGATAGATAGATAGATAGATAGATAGATAGATAGATAGATAGATAGATAGATAGATAGATAGATAGATAGATAGATAGATAGATAGATAGATAGATAGACAGACAGACAGATAGATAGATAGATAGATAGAAGGATGGACGGACGGACGGGTGAGTGGATGGACAGACAGATAGAAAGAAATTTTTAGAGGACACATTTGTACATAAAGTACATTGTGTTACATTGGTAATAGGTTAAGTGACCTCTAAATATAAAATATAAATTTATAAATTATAATATTAATATAAATTTAAAATATGTTGTAATACTTTTCCACTTACAGTATATTTAATTTTCAATAAACTACAATTGAAAAAAGCTCCTGGATGCTTTTGATTTGTGTTCGTTATACGTGTGTGTGTGTGTGTGTGTGTGTGTGTGTGTGTGTGTGTGTGTGTGTGTGTGTGTGTGTGTGTGTGTGTATGTATGTGTGTGTATATTTGGGTAGTTCAATTTCAAATAAATAAAATGCTATTTCTTATTCATTTTACTTCAAAGACATGATTTACTTTAAAATTTTTACAATAAATATTTCTAATAATGCAAAAAACCTTTAAGAATTGATTTATTTTGTGTTTAGTTTGTGCATATGCATACGATTGGTCATATTAATTGTTAATATTTCAGTCTATTTATACATTGAAATATTCACAATAAAATGTAAATTTATAGAATTAATGAGATGTATAAAGTAAACAAACAAAAAATATTCAGGCAATCGCAATAAACATATTGAAATTTAATATTCTATTAGCTATTATATCTACAATAAGGTACAATAGCAAGGAGATATATAATATTACACACGTGACGATATACAGCCATATCGTTCTGCTATGAGTGTGATTTTGCATTGATACAACAGTTCAACGGCATAATAGTGTATATAAAAATAAAATAAACACAGAGTCTCAGAAATCCTTTTGTAAGAGGAACTACTTTCTTCCGCCTTTTATACACATCTGCAGCTGATGTCAGAACAGCAGAATTCGTTGCTAGTTAACGTCACTTTAGAGCTAGTATTTGAATGATTCTCTAGCGTAATGAGAGAGAGAGGTTGATTTAGAAAGAATAGTTGATCAGCTGTAGTTTAAAATATGAAAAGAAAGTTTTTCTCCCTTAAGGACTTATTATGCGGTCTCTGTCGCCATCTTGTGGTGCAACCGTCTTTGCTCTGTTCAGGATGGAAAACCAATGGCCGCAGATCTTCGAAATTATAAATATTTTAAAATAGGCACTATCCTTATAAATGAACTGCATAGTTGCAATTTAAATAACTACATTCTCACCTAAAAAAACCCTCAAAAGACATTATGTTGTCGAACAGCTGCAATATCTGTCAAACTGTAGTGAGTTTATTTATCTGCTGTCACTCTATGTGAACGTAGTAATACACTAGAGTGAAAAGGCTGTATGAGTGCTGATATTGCAGAACATCCACGGCTATCAGCCAATCAGATTAGAGAACTAGACAGAACTGTTGTGTATATATTAATATTTAAGTTCTAAATATCTCTTATTACCTTTCAGAAGTACATAATTACTATAGAAAACGTCTTCAGATGATTGAAAGAAAGTAAAAAAAAAATTAAATTCAACTTCAAAAAATTTTAGGCTGAATGTGTTTTTTTTTTATTTTGTGCACTATATTGTAGTGTACACTATACTGTACTGTACATTTACTTTTTTGTCATTCAAATACATGCATTGGACAAGATTTGGAGTATTCATTATTAGCAGATTAATTAAAGAAAGAACAGCTAAACTGAAAATAGATGAATGCATCAATGTTTAATGATAAAATCTAACTGGGAGGTATTTCATTTGATCTGAAGCTGATTGTGTGCAGCGGCACCACAGTGCAACAGTAAATGGCAGCTCAGGGAGTCTTTCGGAATGAAATCTTATTTATACCAATGAGAGCTTATCCCGTTTGACTGAACCTGCTATGGAACTAAGCCATTGATAATACATAAGCTGCTGATAATTAAAACCGATCAGCGAGAGGAAACACCAACATTTCATTTGCATGTAGTTCAAATATGTTTAATATTTCATTTAGCCATGTTAATTGCATTTAATGAAGCAAACGGCTTCAGATCAGTTGAGGTTGGCACATTTTTGTTTTGTGCTTTTTTGGGGGGGACTTATTTCAATTAAAAATGGATTATGCGACCTTGCTTTTCTATCAGTATAGTGAATGACTAACAAACATTCCGAATCACCAATTAAAAACAAGAATATCAATCAACATTTTGAGAATGTTTGAAAGATTCTCTTCTGAATGTGCTTGTTAACATTTTAGTCTAATGTTGCTTAAGTTCCCACTGACTGACAGTAATTACAAAGACCAGAGCAATGTCGATTTATCCCAAAAAATCACCAATTACTTGCATAATTCATTAACATATTTATTTTGCACTGTTTATTCATGAAACAAGGCTTTTTTTGCGTTTTCTGTAAGGATAAAAGAAGAGTGTTAATAGTGTATTTTGTACTTGCAAAGGATAGCATATCAGAATAGTGCCCCAATATGCTAGTTGATGATAGGGATGTCCCGATCAGGTTTTTTTTATTTAATTTTGAGTGTCAACCGATACCGAATACTGCAATAAAAAAAAATAAAAATATCCGATACTGCAATAATACATAAAAAAAGAGTGAAAAAAACAGATCCAGGATGTTCCTTTTTTATTTTTATTTAATTGACCTTTTTTAACATACAACTACTCTGTTAACAAACAGGGCACTTCTGTCAAGCGGCTTGAACAATTAAGTAATATTTAACTCCAATTCTTTGCTTTTGGATTTTAGTGCAACAGTAAATATAAAAAGAAAACTTTTATAAAAACAAATAACATCTCAACTTAAAACACCCCGCAGACAATCCCAAGTTTACATATCTCACGGTTTGCTATGGCAATGTTGTCATCATCAACTTTATAATACCTCCTGAGCGCAGACATACTTACACTTTCTGCTTAAGCTGCTTTTGTGTTCTGCCGCACACGTTTCTGTTTCTGTGTTAAGTCAAGAAAGAGGCCTTACTCTGTGCCACCGCATGACTATAGATGCGTTAAAAAAATTAAGAATATATATATATATTTATACAACAGTTCTGTCTGGTTCTCGAATCTGATTCGCTGATAGCCGTGATATTCATTCATTCATTCATTTTCTTTTTGGCCTAGTCCCTTTATTAATCTGGGGTCGCCACAGCAGAATGAACCGCCAACTTATCCAGCAAGTTTTTACGCAGCAATGCCCTTCCAGCCGCAACCCATCTCTGGGAAACATCCACACACACATTCACACACACACACTACAGACAATTTAGCCTCTTTGGACTGTGGGGGAAACCGGAGCACCCGGAGGAAACCCACGCGAAGGCAGGGAGAACATGCAAACTCCATACAGAAACACCAACTGAGCCGAGGTTCGAACCAGCAACCCAGCGACCTTCTTGCTGTGAGGCGACAGCACTACCTACTGCGCCACTGCCTCCTCGCCTAACCATGATATATTTAAGTAATATCAGCACCCGTACAGCCTCTTTACCCTTTGTGTATTACTCCGCCCACATACAGCCAGCAAAAAGCAGACACAACAAATCTCAAGTTTAAAAGATGCTTGCTCAACTTGCTCAACTTCTTAGCTTATGATTTGAATCCAATGCAGAGCAAAGTAGTTCCTCATACAAAAGGGTTTTAAAGACTCTCCATGTTTGATTTTGTTTTTATATACATAATTATGCCATCAAACTGTTGTATAAACGCAATATCACACTGCTACTTGTAGGATATTGCGCATATATATATATATATACACCGACACTGATGAACACATCTCAACAATGTAACTACACGTCACAACGATGCATAGCATTAGCTCTGTGATTGGACGGCTTTTGTAGCACTGATGAGTGTGGGCGGGACAGAGAGTCGCACGAACACATTAAAGTGAGTGTTTGCAAGTGTGGAGTCCTGTGAATAAGCTCCAGATGTAAACATTTGTTTTGTGTTTACCTTATGATTAAAGTTGTTGCACATCCGCCGTTTGAGTCACTTGTACATTAAGGTAGCATTCAGAAAAAACAAAACACCAGCAAAGAAACTCGACACAGAGGAACATAAACACCTCATTGCCAGCTAGTGTTTCTAAAGTATTATTGCAGATCTACACAAACAGTGTGCAGATGTAAATGCACGGCAACAAGGAAGGCTTACGATGTGGGTCACGCCGATCACTCAAAGGTTAAACCAGGCTTTAGTCTGAAATTTACTTCATTAAGGTCTTAAAAAGTCTTAAATTTGACTTTGTGAAAACAGCAGAAACCCTAAAGATCATACAAATAGGCAAATTGTGGTGAGATTAGTTGTATTAAATCATCTCTTGGGCATTTTATGCTGACACTTTTAAGGAGACACATTCTGGGAACACTAGAACATAATTTGACATATTATGAAAACAATATGACCCTTTTAATCACTGTTACTTACTATTTCAGGATCAAGAAGAGCAGGCCTACTTTGCCGTGTTTGATGGTCACGGCGGGGTGGACGCTGCCAACTACGCCGCCAATCACCTGCATGTTAATCTGGTCAGGCAAGAAATGTTCAGCCAGGACGCAGGAGAAGCCTTGTGTCACTCCTTCAAACTGACCGATGAGAGATTCATCAAAAAAGCAAAAAGCGAGGTGAGTTTGTGCCCTCCCAAAGCCCTGTTAGGCATCAAGATGCAAGGAAGCTTTTGTTTGTACTGACCAGGTCTGCATGTGTCTGGAACAGAACCTGCGCTGTGGCACCACAGGGGTTGTGACTTTTCTGAGGGGTCGCACGCTGTACGTGACCTGGCTGGGAGATTCACAGGTCATGATGGTGAAGAGAGGTCAACCGGTGGAGCTAATGAAGCCACACAAACCTGACAGAGAGGTGAAAAAGCATTATTATTATTATTAGTATCATTATTAGTTGAAGGGCGGCACGGTGGCTCAGTGGTTAGCACCGCCACCTCACAGCGAGAATGTTGCTGTTTCGAGCCTCGGCTAGGCCAATTGGCGTTTCTGTTTGGAGTTTGCATGTTCTCCCCATGTTGGCGTGGGTTTCCTCCGGATGCTCCAGTTTCCCCCACAGTCCAAAGACATGCGCTACAGGTGAATTGGATTAACTAAATTGGCCGTAATGTGTGAGTGTGTGTGTGAATGTAAGAGTGTATGGGTGTTTCCCAGTACTGGGTTGCGGCTGGAAGCGCATCCCCTGCATAAAACATATGTTGGAATAGTTGGCGATTCATTTCGCTGTGGCGACCGCTGATTAATCAGAGACGAATGAAAATGAATGAATGATTATTAGTTGAATTTAAATAAAACTGCCATGTTATATTTTAGAGTATTGTTTTTTTATTGACTTGTTGATCAACTAAATACAGGATTTAAAACAAATTTAGTGTCCCAATTATTTTGTTTTGTCCATAGAAATTAAATAATAAATACAGTTGAAGTCTGAATTATCAGTGCTCCTGAATTATTAGCTCCCCTGTGTATTTTTCCCCAAATTTCTGTTTAACAAAAAGATTTGTTTAACACATTTCTAAACCTAATAGTTTTAACTAGAATCTAAAGTTCGTTGACGAACTTTGATGTTGGCTTAAGAAAGACAACGTGACTGCGCTAGGACTGGGAATTGCAGATGGTAGGTATCATAGCGGTTGCTAAGTGGTTGCTAGGCAGTTGCTAAAATGTTTATGGCATTGCTAGGTGGTTGCTAAGCAGTTGCTGATGTAAATTGGGTTGCTAAATGGCATCCCTCATTTACATGCTTTATCAAATCCTAATACTTAGTAAGCATTTCTAGCATATAATATTGCACTTAGATAATCATTAATAGCATGTAGCTAGTCGTTATTAGCATATGGCTAATCACTGTTACCATGCATAGTACACATGAAGTCCCATTTTGGAAGCTAGCATGAGTTAAACGAGCCGATATCCAGGTCCCTACGATGTTCTGATGTAGAGATATTGCTGTTTTTAATGGTTGCTAGGTCTGTTTTGTTGCTATGCGGACAATTGACAGCTTAGCGATGATACATCACAGCTTCTTGCTAATATGAGTTATTCAACCAGTTAAAAACTGTACTTAGACGTTATGTAAAAATAGGCAGCCATAATTTATTGAAAATATAATGCTTAGTAAGTGTGAAAGAGATTCGTGCAAAAAAATGTGGACTTTAAGTAAAAAACAGCTTGACATATTTTTACAAATATCATGCTAAAAAATATATTTATTGGAAAACTATAAGTCTGATAAACCTGAAAAAATAAAGCAACAAAATCTAACTAGATAATTTTCAAGATACTGGTATTCAGCTTCAAGTGCAATTTAAAGGCTTAACTAGGTTAACTAGGCAGGTTAGGGTAAATAGGCAAAGGTTTTGTATACTGATGGTTTGTTCTGTAGACTATTAAAATATATAGCTTAAAAGGGCTAATAATACTGACCTTAAAATTGTTTAAAAAATTAAAAACTGCTTTTATTCTAGCCAAAATAAAACAAATAAGACTTTCTTCAGAAGAAAAAATATTATAGCAAATACTGCGAAAAATTTGAAAAAGAAAAAAATGTATGTGGGCTAATAATATTGATGTCAACTGTATAGGTTTGTGGCCAGATAACTTTAAAGGAAGCTTTTACTTTCAATTATTATGAAGGCAATAACTTAATCAAAGCTGAACAAGACATTAGTAAAGTTACAAAAAGATTTCTTCTTCATAAACACAGTTTCTTTGACTTTTCTAGTCATAAAAAAGTGCAAGTTTCGATAACATTAAACACTGACGATAATTTAAAAATATATATTTCTTGAGCACCAAATCAGCATAATAGAAAGATTTCTGATCATGCGTCACAGAGAAAATGACTAGTGAGAATTTTGCATCACAGCAATAAATTCATTCATTCATTTTCCTTCAGCTTAGTCCCTTTATTTATCAGGGGTCACCACAGCGGAATGAACCGCCAACTTATCCAGTATATGTTTTACACAGTGTATGCCCTCCCAGCTGCGACCCCGTACTGGGAAACATTCATACGTTCCACATCCATACACTCTTATTCACACTCATACACTACAGCCAATTTAATTTATTCAATTCACCTATAGCGCATGTCTTTGGACTGTGGGGGAAACTGGAGCACCTGGAGGAAACCCATGAGAACATGCAAACTCCACACAGAAATGCTAACTGACCCAGCCGGGCTTAAATCAGCGACCTTCTTGAAAGTGCTAAGCACTAAGCCATATTTTAAATTGTTCATTTTCACAATATTACTGTTTACTGTGTTTCTGATTGATTAATTAGCATTATTAAGCATCAAAGACCTTAAAAAAACCAATTCCTATATAGCAGTTAAATATTATAGTAAACATATATAAGTACACCCCTCACAAATCTCTCATTTAGAATTAACAGAGCTAAACCCCATACAATCAAAGCATGGTCCGATTTTATTGAGAAATTTCTTATATAATAACTAGTTAATTCTCACCCCAGAGCTTTTCTTTTTCTGTGTATTGTTATTCATTTATTATTTTATTGTCTTTATTTTAATATTATTATTATTTGTAATTTCTTTATGTATTTTCATTTAATGCAAACCCTGGCTTGTATATAGTTGTTGCTAGCTATGTATGCTGGCTTTGTTCTGCAATAAATAAATAATCATAAAAAAAAAACAAATCTCTCATTTAAATTATTATTTTTATAGGAAGCTTTAAAATATTATATTTGTGCGTATAAATTAGATTAGTCAGTACTAAAGCCAAATCTGGAGCTAATCTAACAAAATAACTTACGATAACGCTGTAAATTTAATACACCCAAATTCATGTTAGGGAAAATATAAAAATTTAAGAGAAACATTTAGTTGTTTAATTTTTGTTTATTTTATTTGTTTAGTAAAATTTAGCTTAGATATTTTGTAGATGGTAATTCTTCTTGCAATATTTTGCATGAATTTAAATGTACAATCATTTTCAAGATTTCTAAAAATGTTCTGTGACTAAAATATTATTTTGTTTTGTTCAAATGCACCAAAACTAAGAGATTGATAAAAATATTCATTATCAAAATAGGGTGTATTTATTTATGTTGAGCACTGTACATGCTATTGAATAAAAAACACAAACTATTACTTTTAACTTAAACAGTGGAAGACAGTTGTTAAAAAAAAAAACAGTCCTATATTTCTCTGCAAATGACTTTTTCATGATAAGTCCAGCTCTTTGTTAGGGATGTCCTTTAGAAGAGCCCATTCAATCGACAAAAGTCACATGACAGCTAAGCCACGTTACATAATGTACTCCCAAGAGTGGATTTGTTGAGCTGAGTCTTTGGAGCTTTATCTATATAATGAAACTGAGTGTAAGTCACTTAGACTTCAACGCAAATTAGAGTTTCACTAATTAAGCACGAACTGAAAATGACTCTTAACCGTATTGGTTGTTTGTTTATGTGTGTGTGTGTTTTTGTAGGATGAGAAAAAGAGGATTGAGGCATTGGGAGGGTGTGTGATCTGGTTCGGCACATGGAGGGTGAATGGCAGCCTGTCTGTGTCAAGAGCCATCGGTAAGGGGTCTTTGAAATGACAATGCAATTTTTTTTTTTATAATGCCGAATTGACAGCTTTAATTGCAGCTCCATGCTCTCTACAGAGCTGCATAAATCAACTGAATAGCACTTTACACAATGCATACAGTATAATGCAGATAATAGTTACTCCTGAACAGCAGTAATTGTGCGAAAGGCATCAGCAGAGAGATTCAAAACTCCTTAAGATGCTTTTGAAAGACTTTTCTTTTGTGCTCTTGGAAGATACACACTGATTTAGATGAGATCTTTGGTAAAGGATAACCTGAAGGTCAGTGTGTGTATTTTTAGATGTACAGGCCACTGCAGAAAAGAAAGAAGAAAAAAAAAACACTTTTAGAGTAATGATTGAAATCAGACTGGGTAGATTGCATTTGGTCTTAATCAGATTGCGTTCGGGCTACTCAATGATATTGTTAAAAGCTGATAATATACTCTCCCTGGCCACTTTATTAGGTACACCTGTCCAACTGCTCGTTAACGCACATTTCTAATCAGCCAATCACATGGCAGCAACTCAATGCGTTTAGGCATGTAGACATGATCAAGACAATCTTCGGCTGTTCAAACCGAGCATCAGAATGGGGAAGAAAGGTGATTTAAATGACTTTGAATGTTGCATGGTTGTTAGTGCCAGACGGGCTGGTCTGAGTATTTCAGAAACTGCTGATCTACTGGGATTTTCACGCATAACCATCTCTAAGGTTTACAGAGAATGAACAGATAAAGAGAAAATATCCAGTGAGTGGCTGTTCTGTGGGCGCAAATGCCTTGTTGATGCCAGAGGTGAGAGGAGAATGGCCAGACTGGTTCGAGCTGATAGAAAGGCAACAGTAACTCAAATTACCACTCATTACAACCGAGGTATGCAGAAGATCATCTCTGACATGTCAACATGTCCAACCTTGAGACGGATGGGCTACAGCAGCAGAAGACCACACTGGGTGCCACTCCTTTGAGCTAAAAACAGGAAACTGAGGCTACAATTCACACATGCTCACCAAAATTGGACAATAGAAGATTGAAAAAACGTTGCCTGGTCTGATGAGACTCGATTTCTGCTGCAACATTCGTATGATAGGGTCAGAATTTGGCATCAATAACATAAAAACATGGATCCATCCTGCTTTATATTAACAGTTCAGGCTGGGGGTGGTGGTTTAATGGTGTGGAGAACATTTTCTTGGCAAACTTTGGGCCCATTAGTACCAATTGAGCATCGTGTCAACACCACAGCCTATCTGAGTTTTGTTGCTGACCATGTCCATCTCTTTATGACCACAGTGTACCCATCTTCTGATGGCTACTTCCAGCAGGATAACACGCCATGTCATAAAGCGCAAATCATCTCAGACTGGTTTCTTGATCATGACAATAAGTTCACTCTACTTAAATGGCCTCCACAGTCACCAGAGCTCAATCCAATAGAGCACCTTTGGGATGTGGTGAAACGGGAGATTCGCATCATGGATGTGCAGCCGACAAATCTGTAGCAACTGCGTGATGCTATCATATCAATTTGGACCAAAATCTCAGGATTATTTCCAGTACCTTGTTGAATCTGTAGCACGAAGGATTAGGGCAGTTCTGAAGGCAAAAGAGGGTCCAACCCGGTACTAGTAAGATGTACCTATTAAAGTGGCCAGTGAGTGTATATTGTATCAATACAGTTTGAGTAAATGCTGGGTTGTTGTGACCTAACACTGGATCAAATATTAGGTTAGCCAATGTTTTTGAAAAGGTTAAACTTTTGAGGTGAATAAAGTAAAAATCTTGCATTACTGATAATGATTAATCAATAAAGTGATTGCTAATTTAATTGATTTGTTTTAATCCCAGCTTCACCACCTCATTAAATTATGGATACAGTAGCAGTGTACAGTATTTACCTTAAATAGTTTAAGATTATGGTTTGTGGCCTAATGAGCAATGCTGTAATAAAAAAGGTTGACCTCCAGGAAAAACTCCTTAGCCAGTTTTCCCATGACTTTCTGTATAGGAACCGTTTCACTCCCTAAACGGTGATGGCTAATCTGTCAGATAATCCGATCAGTCTAGCGTTTAATTCCCTTAAAGCTCTTGATTCATAAATAGTACAAGTGAGCCCAATTCTGCCACAGCCTAGGCAACTGGTGCTACAAATGTCCGAGCCATATTTCACTCCAAAATTAAACAAATAAGAAACTATTGTACCACCTTTTTGCTTATTCATTATTTTTTATGACAATTATGTGTTTGTTGTTTATTGAGTTTCTACAAAATGTACACAATGGGAAAATGTGTAGAAATTTTATATAAATTAAAAAAACATTCATGATTAATTTATGGTACAAATATTTATGAAGATGTACAGCATGTTTTTTTTCTGGGAATAACATTTTTTAAGGGGCTGTTGACATGGAATTGAACCAGATTTTGGTAAAAACCCAAACAATACAAAGATAAACAACCCAGGCTCATTCTGAATACGTAGTCCCGTGGACGTTTCTGGAGACTGCGAAATACGTCCCGGGATGTACGTAAAGTAAGACAAAAACAGAATCCAAAAAATAAAGCGAACGAGTTCATAACAGGGTGAGAACGCGGTGAAATCCAAAAACAAGGTAAAATTTTTTTTTTTTAAAAACAGACGAGGGTTTTTCTTTTTCTAGACGGCTTTTCTAAATTGTTGCTCGGGTTTAGGGAAGTGAGCGGGCGGGCGGGTCAATCTGTAAAACTGGTTGGGTTCAGGGAAGGGTGGGTTAGCCAATTGGCCGGTCGCGCAGTCAATCATTCGGTCAGTCAGACAGCGGCCTCTGGTGGGTTGACCCGAGGACAGCGCGGGCGCGAACGGCACTCGCAAGAGACGTTCGAGATACGAAAACGCCCACACAGCGGCCTCTCGTGGATTCCGGAACGTATTTCGCGGTCTCCAGAAACGAGCCTGAGCCTGGGTTGAAGATAAAACAAAAAAATCAGAAAAATGAGTTTTGTGTTATAACAATGAAATGACACAAAAAGAAAGAACTGAACTGCTGAAATGTATTTAATAATATTTATTAAAGGCTTTTTTTGGTGACGGCAACAGGCTGCCTCTTCTATGGAGAATGAAGTGACATGCATTGTTCATGTGTGATTCTTTTCACAGATTTCCACAGAGTCTAAAATCTTAATGGTTCTGTGGGTCTCGTTCATCAAATCTGAGCTTTATTTTGTATTTTCTATTGGGTTCAAGTCAGGTGATAGGCAGGGCCATTCTACAGCTTGATTTTCTTTCTCTGAAAGCATGTGAGAGTTTCCTTGGCTGTGTTTTGAATTATTGACTTGCTGAAATGTCCACCCTGGTTTCTTCTTCATCATCCTGCCAATGTATATGTTGGACTGAAGCAGCTAATATTCATTTACAATGAGGAATCGCAGAGGGTTGCTGCTGGCCTTCACTGCCTTTCTACACCTTCCTTTCTTCATGTGTTCAATACTTTTTCCCTGTGTCATTTCATTTTATTACACATAACATCATTTTTAAACTAATTAGATTTGTTTTCTTTGCATATATATGGATTTCTTTGGTTCTTTGCAACATCTGGGGAAAATTTCAAGTCAACAGCACCTTTACAAATGTATTTTCTGAGAAAAATGATGACATGTAATACTTATTTTCCCCGCTGTATGTATTGGATAATGTAGATTAGCTGATGTAACTTTTGTTATTGGTTTCACTTATTTACATCGAGTTAATTGTTGTATTTACTGTGATTTTTTGGTCTGTTTGTTCAGGTGATTCAGAACACAAGCCCTACATCTGTGGCGATGCTGACTGCAGCACCTTCAACCTGGACGGCAGCGAGGACTACTTGATCCTGGCCTGCGACGGCTTCTACGACACAGTGAACCCAGAAGAAGCCGTCCGAGTGGTGAGCGACCACTTGCAGGAGAACAACGGGGACACCGCCATGGTGGCCCACAAGCTGGTGGCCTCAGCCCGAGATGCGGGGTCCAGTGACAACATCACGGTAATCGTAGTGTTCCTCAGAGACCCCCGTTTGCCTCCGCCCTCAGATGAGCCTGAGGAGCAGCACGATGAGGAGCCATTGGAGGACGCAGGAGAAGAGGAAGAAGAGGAAGAAGCAGTGGATGCCTTGCAGAGTGAATTGGTGTGTCAAGATGGAGGTGCGGAGAATGGAGGAAAGAACCGGGGCGGCTGGCCTCTGCAGCAGTGCTCAGCGCCAGCTGACCTGGCCTACGAAGACCGCATGGATTCATTCACGGACAGAACAAGTCTGAGCATCACAGGGCCGGATGTGCATGCAGAGACTGGTTGCTTCAGGATCCCAGCTTCATCTGGCCTGCCCCCAACCAGAACCGTCACGCCAGACCTCATTCCCTCCAACAGCAGGGCCGGCGCTGCCTGGCGTCCTAACCAAGAGGACGACCCTTCTGGGTACAGGCAAAAACCCCAGCCTAAACCTAGAGTGCCCTCCTACATGCAGACCACCTCAGATGGACAATTGCTGGAGGTGGCTGCGCTCTTCTCTCAGGAGGGCCGCAAGAAGAGGCGGCTGGACGTCCTGCCGCTGAGGAGGGAATCACAGCGTCTGACCCGGAGGGCCAGGGAAAGCCACGGTCCTCTGAGCTGCTTCCCTAGTGTGCCCTATCCTCTGCGCTCCTCAGAGAGGAAGCCCGGGATAGCCTTTCCTCATGTAACCCATAGCAAAAGGGTCTAATCGACATCTTCCTTGCCCCATCATCACGCCCTACATTCTTGAAGCTAACACACCCTCCTGTGGTGGACGTACACATGCATATATTCACACTCTGTTCCAAAACCCAGTGAGTAACCTTTATAGACAGCATTTTAAAAGGCCACTCATTTTGGATTGGTTTGAAGGCAGTATTTGCATGCATCTTAAATGAAGAAGGAGACAATCTTGGCTCAACAGAAACGTTCGGCAAAACTTGTAATATAATTACAACTATTTGAAATATTATTTGTTTGTTTTGTATATATTTATGGTTATCAGAGAATATGCGCGGCCATATTTAAAGTTATTCTGTGAAATTTCACAAAGAATCCAGTCATCGTTGAGTCATCAGGAGGGCAAACAAGTTCACCATGCAAATTTCGCTCATGTCCAAGCTTATGCAAATTTGCCAAGCTGACCATAGTAAAAGCTACTTGGTGACTTTTGTGCAAGTTGTTCTTTACACAGTACATCTAAATACTACAAACAATGTACTGTGGGCTTTATGCATCCATAAAGTCAATTCAATTTTGACTTGATTTTCACTGGATTTGTGAATCCATCATGCAGCTTTTCTTTGTGTTTATTTGCACACAAGAATCTGCTTGATTTGACAGTGATGTCATCCCTGTAGTACTTCGAAATTCTGAAATTTCACCAATGAGACTGCATCTAATCTTATTCCTAAACCATTTAGTTGACCACTATGCTGACAACAACCCCTACAGAAATTCCTTTATGCCATTTGAAATGTGTTGCTCCCTAAGTAGACTGTCCAAATGAGTCACTAAGGAGGTTCCAAATGTTGTTACCTATATAGGGCTCACTTGCTTTTGGAACAGAAACGCACAGTCAAACATACCACACTGCATTAACGCTTCCACTTTCGTCTTATAAGAGCCAGCCTATCAAAATCCACCATCACTCTTAACCAGCTTCCTCTTCATCCTCCTCATCTCTCTGGTCCAGAGTGTTTACACTACCCTAACACTATCCAATCATAACTGAAGTTCCACACAAACCCAATGTAAAAGCAAGCAACTGATTGCAGTCAGCAGATCTCAAATCTGGTATCAAAAGTAAGAGACATGATACAGCTACTGGTTAATAAAGCCATGTTCACACACTACACCTTAAGAGAAACCTATTCAGAATCACCTCACAGATCTATTAATTTTTCCTTCATTTACTTACTATATGAACTGGTTACTCTAGGGCAGGGGTGTCCAAACTCGGTCCTGGAGGGCCAATGTTCTGCAGATTTTAGCTGGAACTTACCTCAACATACTTGCAAGGATGTTTCTAGAAAGCCTAGGAAGAGCTTGATTAGCTAGCCCAGGTGTATCTGATTGATGTTGGAGCTAAACTTTGCAGGACACCGGCCCTCCAGGACCAAGTTTGGGCACTCCTGCTATAAATTGCAGGTTAAGATTCAGGCATCATTATGATCTGACTGCTAATTCATTAAAACGAGTGGGATCATATTCATTTGTGTGTTTATGTTTATAGCACACATAATGTTTGTGCTGTTTATGACCTTGTGTTTAATCTTGTTACGTCTGTAAGATGTCTCCATTTATCTAAATGGCACTTTCCACAAATAGGTAATAATTTGGTCTCCTTTATTTGACTTTTAATGTCTATTTTATGTTTACTGCTGGGAAACAAATAAATCTGAATAAAAAGAGGCTCTGTTTTTGTAATCTAATTGTGGAAAGTGCTGGGTTGGTTTTGGGCGACTGCCACGTCAAAGCGTTTGCACATATCTCCAACCATCCTTTGATGATGCTAACTAGAAATAACCCACTGACAGACACCACCTGCTTGCTTTTCCAATCATTGCCTTGGAGAGAAACATATCAGATTCATTTTAGATGCAGTAAATATATATATATATATATTCCACACATAATCCGTTTAAAAACCAAAGAAGAAAAGGTCTGAGTATTTATCAAGGGGCACGAAACCATCTCTAGGCAGCGCTACAGATACAACCATCAAAAAAGCTTGACGTTCATAGTCTGAATTTAAAACAAATAGGTCCGGCCAAATATCGTTGGGTTGTTCAGTTGGATGAAGCTATTGTAATTGTCAGATCTAAGCTTGCACAGGATGTAAATGTAGCCTGAACGGTTTGCTCGACAACATAATAAGCTAGACATAGTTTAAAGTGCCCCTCAGGTGTTGAGGACATGGATGGTTGGGTTTCAGCAGCACAATGTGTGCCTTTAATATCTTCAACATAGGCCTGTTTTGGACAGGATTGCATGATCTGATCTCTCTACTAGTTTCCACACACTTAAGATTAGAACCAGATTTGTCATGTACATTTTTACGATCTTTACCAGACTTTGTTTTGAGAGAGGGAATTTAGTACATTTGGTACACTGGGGAATACAGAGAGGGACTTGGTTTACGAATGTAAAGTATTATCCGTCTCTCAGTCACTAATAATACGGCATGATGTTTAGACGTAACATGCTTTGGACAATGAGTTAAAAACAATCATCTGGACAAATTTAAAGGGATAGCTCACCCAAAAATGACACTTCAATCTTGTTTGTTACCATTCACTTCTAGTGTATGCAGCAGACGAAAGAAATAGATAAAACATATATTTAATGATTTACAGAAGAAAGTCATTGAAGCTTTGAAATGGCATGGTGAGAGAATTATCATGTTTGGGTGAACAGCAATCCTTGAGCTCTATTGATCCAGCCGATTTGAATGTTATGACTTGATTGAAAGGGCATTATCAGTGGTTATCAGCTGATAGATATGGGTCAGTAGGGGCCTTCTGCGCCTACTAGTAGGCGCCGAAGGCTGTTATCATCCGACCACATGGTTAATCAGCTATAGATCACATATAGCTGTAGCCGGAAGTTAACAAGAATTATTTATATTGCTTATTAAATTTCCTATTTATTGTATTTTATAAACGTCTACCCCAACCCCAACCATCACAGTAATGTAAATACAGATCTGGATCTGGAGTCTTGTATATTAATACAGCTGATTAACCATGTGGATGGATAATAACAGCCTACTAGTAGGCGCAGAAGGCCCCTACTGGCCCATATTTATCGGCTGATAATCACTAATAATGCCCATTCAATCGAGTGATAACATTCGAAGCGGGTGATTGATCAAGTTTCACCAATTATCCCAGCAAATAACTGACTAATTTAGTTTTAAAAATCATGTGCGCAACTTGAGAGCCCTAAAGTGAAATGACAGAAACTTCAAGAACAGATTGGCTTGATATTATTTCAAATTAAATTAGGCCAAAACAAGCTAATTTCAAGAGTTCTGCCTCATTCACACTAGCAGCGACTTTGTAGTTGCCCATCATTCTGGGGTGCGTTTCCCAAACAACAACGTCACTCATGCCTGAACTATCATAGTACGATGCATAATTTGGGAAAAGAACGATGTAGTGACCAGCGTTTCTTCAAAATTGTGGTTTCTCTGTCGCAGATCCGTCGTTTGAACAACATTAGTTACACCGTAAAACACCCATATATACAGTTGAAGTCAGAATTGTTAGCCCCCCTGAATTATTAGCGCCCCCGTTTATTTTTTTCCCCAATTTCTGTTCTGTTCTGGGAAGATTGTTTCAGCAAATTTCTAAGCATAATAGTTTTAAAAACTTATTTCTAATAACGGATTTATTTTATCTTCTCCATGATGACAGTAAATATTATTTTACTAGATATTTTTCAAGACACTTCTATACAGCTTAATGTGACATTAAAAGGCTTAACTAGGTTAATAAGGTGAACTAGGCAGGTTAGGGTAATTAGGCAAGTTATTGTATAATGATGGTTTGTTCTGTAGATTAGGCTAATAATATTGTCCTAAAAATGTTTTTTCAAAAATTAATAACTGCTTTTATTCTAGTTATAGAATATAACTAAAACAAAACTAAAACAAACTAAAACAAAAAAGACTTTCTCCGGAAGAAAAAATACTATCAGACATACTGTGAACATTCATTATTCTGTTAAAAATCATTTGGGAAATACTTAAAAAAGAAAATAAAAATCAAAAGGCAGCTAATAATTCTGACTTCAACTGTATGCTCTAAATGGGCCGGAGTAACAGCTTCTTAAGAGATTAAACAAACAAACTTTTTGTGGAAATTATATTATTTCACACGCACGCTCACACACATTTATTTATTTTTTAAAATCCAATATAAGGCTAGTTTTGGTAAAAGCATGCACTCTCCATATTAACTGAATATGTACAAAATATTATGAATATTCCATATTCTATTCTGAAACATAAAACCACTTACAAAAAGCTAGCACATATTTTAATCTCATATATAAATCATATAAATGGTTAATGGTTGTAATTTACAGTAGGCTATTTATTAAGATATGAAAAAAATCCTACTTAATAATAAAAATTATTATTAGTTGTAGTAGTATTTTATTATTAATTTATAGTTATTAATTTAATATTATTATTATTTTAAGTAGTATATTGTTCATTAATTTATTTGCTATTTTTTTAGGTCACCTATAGCTTTAGTCATGAGCCACGGTTGTGTTCAAAATGGCATAAATGTTTTTAAAGTGCACTGCGAAGGAAACGCAAATGTCAATATGAAAATCGCTAAAACTGAAGTGTAAAAATGCTTTGAAAGAAAATGACATGTAAGAGAGATGACTTTAATGCTTTTTTTATCATTCCAAGTTTAAATGTGGAATGTTCTAAATGAATAGGGAATAGGGGGGATAACTAGTATTAGAACACAACCAGGAACTATGCTCCTAACTACAAGTAGTGTAGTTGCAAGTTTACACGTTTGTGATTCAGTTTGAATGAATTACGTCTGTAACGACGAATATTGCATCCTTAGTTGGCTAACAATGGTTTTCGGAAACACACCCCTGGGTGGCAACCTGCTGCAAGCACAGGTCTCTGTAGGTCTACAGAACTAAGACTACAACTAGCATCTAATTGAGCTGAGAGAGGATCACGTAAGCTCTACTGGTGCTCCTATTGGCTGTCGTTCAAGAAAGTCGCTTATCATTTGTTGCA